TTATAACATGATTTATTTTGTTGTTTTTTTGATTTATTTCATAACATGATTTATTTTGTTGTTTTTTTAATTTATTTTATAACCTGATTTATTTTGTTGTTTTTTTAGTTTATTATATAACATGATTTATTTTGTTGTTTTTTTAATTTATTTTATAACATAATTTATTTTGTTGTTTTTTTAATTTATTTTATAACATGATTTATTTTGTTGTTTTTTTAATTTATTTTATAACATGATTTATTTTGTTGTTTTTTTAATTTATTTTATAACATGATTTATTTTGTTGTTTTTTTTTATTTATTTTATAACATGATTTAATTTGTTGTTTTTTTATTTATTTTATAACATGATTTGTTTTGTTGTTTTTTAAATTTATTATATAACATGATTAATTTTGTTGTTTTTTTAAATTATTTTATAACATGATTTATTTTGTTGTTTTTTTAATTTATTTTATAACTTGATTTATTTTGTTGTTTTTTTAATTTATTATATAACAGGATTTATTTTGTTGTTTTTTTAGTTTATTATATAACATGATTTATTTTGTTGTTTTTTAAATTTATTTTATAACTTGATTTATTTTGTTGTTTTTTTAATTTATTATATAACAGGATTTATTTTGTTGTTTTTTTTAATTTATTTTATAACATAATTTATTTTGTTGTTTTTTTAATTTATTTTATAACATGATTTATTTTGTTGTTTTTTTTATTTATTTTATAACATAATTTATTTTGTTGCTTTTTTTATTTATTTTATAACATGATTTATTTTGTTGTTTTTTAAATTTATTTTATAACATAATTTATTTTGTTGTTTTTTAAATTTATTTTATAACTTGATTTATTTTGTTGTTTTTTTAATTTATTATATAACAGGACTTATTTTGTTGTTTTTTTTAATTTATTTTATAACATAATTTATTTTGTTGTTTTTTTAATTTATTTTATAACATGATTTATTTTGTTGTTTTTTTAAATTATTTTATAACATGATTTATTTTGTTGCTTTTTTTTATTTATTTTATAACATGATTTATTTTGTTGTTTTTTTGATTTATTTCATAACATGATTTATTTTGTTGTTTTTTTAATTTATTTTATAACATAATTTATTTTGTTGTTTTTTTAGTTTATTATATAACATGATTTATTTTGTTGTTTTTTTAATTTATTTTATAACATAATTTATTTTGTTGTTTTTTTAATTTATTTTATAACATGATTTATTTTGTTGTTTTTTTAATTTATTTTATAACATGATTTATTTTGTTGTTTTTTTTTATTTATTTTATAACATGATTTAATTTGTTGTTTTTTTAATTTATTTTATAACATGATTTTATTTTGTTGTTTTTTTAATTTATTTTATAACATGATTTATTTTGTTGTTTTTTTAGTTTATTATATAACATGATTTATTTTGTTGTTTTTTTAGTTTATTATATAACATGATTGATTTTGTTGTTTTTTTAAATTATTTTATAACATGATTTATTTTGTTGTTTTTTTAATTTATTTTATAACTTGATTTATTTTGTTGTTTTTTTAATTTATTATATAACATGATTTATTTTGTTGTTTTTATAATCTATTTTATAACATAATTTATTTTGTTGTTTTTTTAATTTACTTTATTACATGATTTATTTTGTTGTTTTTTTAATTTATTTTATAATATGATTTATTTTGTTGTTTTTTTAATTTATTTTATAACATGATTTATTTTGTTGTTTTTTAAATTTATTTTATAACATGATTTATTTTGTTGTTTTTTTAATTTATTTTATAACATGATTTATTTTGTTGTTTTTTTAGTTTATTATATATCATGATTGATTTTGTTGTTTTTTTAAATTATTTTATAACATGATTTATTTTGTTGTTTTTTTAAATTATTTTATAACATGATTTATTTTGTTGTTTTTTTAATTTATTTTATAACTTGATTTATTTTGTTGTTTTTTTAATTTATTATATAACATGATTTATTTTGTTGTTTTTATAATCTATTTTATAACATAATTTATTTTGTTGTTTTTTTAATTTACTTTATTACATGATTTATTTTGTTGTTTTTTTAATTTATTTTATAATATGATTTATTTTGTTGTTTTTTTAATTTATTTTATAACATGATTTATTTTGTTGTTTTTTTAATTTATTTTATAACATGATTTATTTTGTTGTTTTTTTAATTTTTTTTATAACATGATTTATTTTGTTGCTTTTTTTAATTTATTTAATGAGAACAAGAACACAATAGTCATCAATACCTTATATATTTTTATAGTTGCACTTGTGAATTGTTGTAAAAAAATTGCTGATTTATATCAAAGGAGAACAAGATTTTTAGGTAGATCTTAGAATATATTGTAAAATAAAATATTTCATTAATAAATATATTTTGGTAATGAAATGAATGTAAAGCGTTTTGTAAATAAATAATACTTGGATATACAGCATTTTAAAACAAAACAAAAATAACATCGATTTTATAAAGTTTGATTTCAGCATATGTTGTAGTCTTATTAATAAAGTGCATGCTTTACTAAATCAATAATAACTTATTTCAAAATGCTTAATTTTTTTATGCATGAAAAAAATCTCGATTAACTCAAAATTTAAACAATGGATTAACAGCGTTTTGAAAATGAGCTCTTCATGTATTTATTTATTTAAATGTATATAAATTTTCACTGTATATATGTATGTACTTATTTTAATTAATGAAAAACATTTTGCTACCGTAGTTGTACCTAATTATAAACATTCCCTAACTCGGAACAGCTTTTGTTCACTTATTGTTATATCTTCTCTTTAAGTGAGATTTTTAAAAAGAAAACTGATTAATAATTTGGAAGACTAGGGTAACAAGAATATGAAAAAACATTTTCAAAATATATATAAATATCATGAAATTTTTTAATTTGCAAGCAAAACATTTTTAAAAACCCTGAAAATCAACCAATATAAAACCAAATTTAAAAAAAAAAAAAATTTAAGTTGCGCACTGTTCAATGAAGAATTTGAAAGTGATTATTTATTAAAAACAAAAAAGTCAAAAATTAATAATATTTCATAAGATATTTTAAAAACAGTACTTTTCTGCAGATTTAAAACATTTCCCTAATTACAAACAGATTTAGAAATTTAAAAAACATTTTTTGTGTGTGCAAAATATGTGGTTTTTACGTACAAGTAAATAACAACAATATTTAACAATATTATTTTAACGACAATAACTTAAAAAAACTAAGAAATGCTTTTATCTTTTTTATTGAATCACTAAACGCCTTGTTTATCTTAATGTTTGTTAATAAAAAATTGCGATACCATTTAATGGCGAAGAATAATGGCGTAGTTATAATAATAGAAGGTCATAAAATAATAACTTTCAGTGAGCATAATTAATGGGTTACTGAACAATGTTTCAGTCTTTGAATTACTGTAATTTAAAAACACATCTGTGTAAAGGATAAAATTGCATTTCTATACAGTTAAAAAGCATTATAAGCTTCTTATTTGATTAATGGGTGAGCATTCGCTAAGGTTGCAACCAACCTGATAAAAGTAACTAACATTTTTTAATATTACTTTTTACGGTTAACAACGGTTAACTCACAGAAACAGGCTGCGACTGTAAAGGTTTTTTTTAACTGACTATAAAAAAAATAACGGAAAACAGGATTTAACAAACAGATAATGTACACTATGCCCTAACACAATGTTATATTAAAATAAAAGTAATTTTAAGATTTAAATTTTTTTTTCCTAACTCTAAGTTAGAGGTCTATGGTAGTATAAATTATTTACTTTTTTAAATTGAATGCTTTTTTTTGGAATTTGATATGTACATTGGGAATAAGGAACACGTGTTACTAACGTTAAACGAAAACTTTACATTTCAAAATTAAAAATTAGCAAAGTTTTTACAATAAATATACATATTGCCTAATATCGTTCGATTCAGTTTAAGTTCCAGTTTATTTATTTTAAAAAGTTAATTTGAAATTCTAAAAGCAAGCGAAGATATTTATCTTTAAGTAAGATTTTGTTCAGAATTAAGGAAATCTACGGTATTGTTTTTTTTGTTTTGTTTTGTGTTTGAGAAAAAAATATAATTGTTAAATCAAAAAAATACATTTTAGTTCGAACATATTTTCGTTTGTTATCTGTAACTTTTACTCTTATGAAGAATTAACGGTAGATATGATTTATATAAATTTTGCCAATTTATATAAAGGTTATGGTAACAAGGCTTTACTACCTGAATGGATATTTTCTTTTTTAAGAGAAAACGGTACAAATTTGTTATGGTTTAATACGTGTCACAATTGCTTGAGACTTATCTGTTCCTAATCAGAAATGTCTATTCCTAATCAGAAAATAATTAGGGAAAAAAAACCCATGTTTCTTAAGCTCAGGATTTCGCAATGAAGTTATTAAGATTACCTTTTTTATTAATGTATTATTATATATGACTTTTATCTATGTATTTTTCTTATCCAAAACAACAAACTAGCAATAGCCTATCCAGTATTAGTTGTTACTCTTTGCATCTTTTTTACTTTTTTTATCTGTCATAAATCGTTTATCATTTCCAACTTTTATAAAGTCATAAGTTTCATACAGTTAATTACTACTTTTACAAAAAATAAGTTTACCAATATAATAACTTTACAATAACAGGAGACAGTTTTTTTTTTTTTTTTTGACAAAAAAGAAAACTTTTGTTTGTAGCTCAAAAAAGTTTTTTTTTAACTTCTTTAACACAGAACTTAAATCTGAGATTAGTTGAGATTAAAAGATCAAATGTTTATCAATATTTAAGCTTCAGTAAAGACACAATCCAAATTAGTAATTACTCTTTTTGATTTCAACGTCATACATCTTTATTTTCCATTTTTAAAGTTTTTAATAAAATATTTTATACTGAGTCAGATTAAAAATTTAATTATTTAAAAAATAATTCCTATTTGTTTAAAAACTAACCAATACAGCTTTTATTATTTATATCCAACACCCATCCAGATTTGCAAGTACACATGTAGCTTCCATCGTAGTTTTTACAGTGACTGTTTGTCCAATTACAGTAAGTTGTTTTTTCTAAACACTCATCAATATCTAAATATATTTATAAAATATAAAAAGTGTTCACAGCACGAATTATAATAACAAAAAAAATTTACGTGTTAAAAATAATTTTAGAACTCTAAATACTGATTTGTTGTTCAATAAGTATCTCTTTTATTTTTTTAAAATCTGAACTTAAAATTTTGAATAATTGAGATTTGAAGCTCAAAGATTATTAAAACTTAGGCTAAATTAAAGTCATAGTCTAAATCATTCATTAGTCTTTTTAATGATAACTAAGTATTCTTTTTTATTATTTGTTAGGAAAATATTTTATCTACTATCAGTATAAAATTTAGATTGTTTAAAAGTATAATGTTTTTAGCAACTTTTTTTTTATCTAAATAGCTATTATAAATATATTTTTTAAAATGCTAACCAATACAGCTTTTATTATTTTCATCCAACAACCATCCAGATTTGCAAGTACAAATGTAGCTTCCATCGTAGTTTTTACAATCACTGTTTGTCCAATTACAGTAAAATGTTTTTTCTAAACACTCATCAATATCTAAAAACATTTATAAACCATATACAGAACTAACATTAAGAATTATGATAAAAAAAAGAAATTGCGTGTTAAACCTATGTTAAAGAAACATGGATACTTTTACTAAATAGTGAGATAATCAAAAAGATATATAAGAAACTTTGTTTATAATTAAACTATTTTTATAAAGAATCTGTGTTATGTTTTAAATGAGAAGGTTTTCTTATAGTAGGGGGGAGTGGTTCAAAATTCTATATTTTTTGTTTAGACAGTTATTCTTAAATAATTTTTTAAAAAAAGTTTTTAAAAACAATTCGCTTTTCGCTAATTTTTTATGGTTGACCTTCTTCTTCTATTTTAAAAATTTAAAGGATATAAAAAATAAAAGCCTTTCCAAAAGTTTCATTGCGTATAAAGTTACGCAACTTTTCTTTCAAATTTAAGCTATTCAAATTTTGATTTGATAAATTTGATTTTTAATCGATGCGTTTTAAAAAGAAAAAAAGTTTAAACTGAAGTTTTTTTCAAAAAAAACTTTTTAAATAAGTAAAACGACAGATTGCTTAAAAAAAAAGTTTTATTTGAAGTCTTTTTTTAAACAAAACTTTTTAAGTAATAAAAAAGAAAGATTGCTTCAAATTATGTTAATTTTTTTTTTTTTTTTTTAGTTTTTAATCGTTATTCAAGCTTTCAAGAAGGCTATTCAAGATTTCATTTTTTTTTTCACTTTTCTATAATAAAATCAAGAATAAATCTTCTTTTAAAGTGCCAGTCAGTAGAAGTTCAATTAAATTCTAAAGTTTTAACAATTCTAAAGATAAACAGTTAGTATAAAGCAACACCGCTACCTAAAAGGCTTTATAAAAAACAAACTGGGTGATCAAATTTTGAAGTTTTCTGCTTTACTCTAAAACGCAGAGAATAGCTAGTTAAAAAAAATTTTGAAAGCAGTTAATAAGTATACCTCAAAGAGGTTGAATGATTGTATCATTCTTGCTAAAGCATTTTGGTTAAAGTTAGCCTCATGACTTCAAAAAAGAGAAAAGTATTATGTGTTTGATTAATGATGAAATATGATTAGTATTAACTTTTTAATTAAGTTGTTGCAGTTAGAAAGCTTTAGGAAAAACACATTTAATTTCAACAGTATATGTATACTTAATTATTTAAACCATATAAAAAATGAAGGTTCGCGCAGTTTAAAAATACTTTAAAGAATTTTTGTCCAGTTATTTGTCCCAAAAGTTGAAACTATAGAATATCGTTGAAACCAGCTACAAAAACAAATTGATAACAATGGAAGAGCAGCAAACTTTCAATCAGGTGTGCAAGAAGAGTTCTGTTTTAGCTTGATTAAAGTTAAAAGGCAGCCTATTTAGCTGTGAACTAGACATTATTGAAGTAGATAAAGATATGTTAAAAAGAAAAAAAAGTTCGAAAAATGAGGTTCTTTATTTTAGGAATACAATGTAGGTCATTGTCACGGAGGTCTATTCTGTTTAAATACATGATTGTTGATATAAAAATACAAACCTCTATCTTATGTCTATCAAAGAAACACGATTATAACCTCGATGTTCTATAAGGAAAGTTCACGCAGCAATCTCTTTCACATATGATGACTTTTATAGTTATTTTCCATTTTCAATAGTAAATAACAAACTGTATGAATTATTTTCATATATAATAATTAATTTTTTTTGTTACTTATAAATAATAAGGTAGATTATTGATAAATTAAACAGAAAGAGATTTCTAGTTTTCTACTTTTCTTATATTTAATGATAATAATAATTTTATCTAATTTTAGCAATGTCTTTTTTTGTCAATATATTCACTTTTATTAAAATTGAAGTAGAAGGCTAAATAATTAAAATGAAAAAAATGAAAATGATTTTCAGAATCAGCATAAAAACTATTTAAGAAAAATTGGTTAAACTATAAAAAATCTATTAAAAGACAATTTTGGAGCCCTCTCCCCCCCCTTACTTCTAGCTATTATATAAGCATAACACAAGTTCAGTGGCAATTTAACATTAATTATTTATATAGTTTTCTTTTTTATTTAATAAAGGATGAACCTTTATTAAATAAAAAATAAAACATTAGGTTAAAAAAGGTGGTAACTTTTCTTAACGTAATGTTTACTTTTAGTGTTGTTGATTTTCGTTATTCAATATTTAATTGAGCAAATATAATGTTTGCATCCTAATCATACTTAAGGTATTCAAAATACAAACAAATGGTTGATGAAAGTATTATCAACCAAGAAAAGTTGACACCTACAGACACTCCTATTTACATTTATGTTCTTTGAATATCGTTCTAGATTAATAAATAAAAAAATCAGATGAGTTTTCAAACTTGATTCTTGAAAAATCAAAACGGAAATTAATTTTTTTTTTTTTTTTATCTGATGCCAATAGGTAAGAAGGTAGCACTTTTAAAAATACAGAAGGTGATGCGTTGTGTTAATCAAAGGTTTTACAAGAAATATGCAAGTATGTGTTCTTAAAAAGAAAAGAGATTAAAGTGCATGTCAGTGGCTGCCATAGTTTTTTTAAACAAAAGTTTATTGTGTTTTTAGGATTAGGAAAATGCAGGAGAATCAAATGAAGAAGTTGAAAACAAAAAAAGCATATTTAGTTATATGGTTTGATTGTAAAAAAAAGATATATTTTTTTTAACATTTAGTATTTTTTTATAATTTAAATAAACCTCTGCATAGTTTTTTTACACAAAAGCTGTAAAAGCCAGATTTTAAAAAAATTTGTTAATAAAATTTTTATTTTTTATTTTTATATATAAATAAAAGTTTCTTGACTTAAAAAGTAAACAACGATTAAGTAATGTACAAGTTGTGAAATTTATACATTAGTGTTTGAAGTGTTGAATAATTTGGTTTTAAAATTGATTTACTTTTATTTACTCATTTTTTCTTGCGTTAAAACATTTGAGGCACTTAGAACTTAATTAGAGTTTCTGACTGTGTTTTACTTGTAAATACTTTTGTATTTATTAATTCTTATGGGTTATTGCTACTTACATCACTACTTCTGAAACGACAATAGCAACGTAATTTTTTACTCATTTGAATTTTAGATATTAGAACTTTTGGATTTAATCACTTAAGCAACCTACTGTTTTCTATTAAGGTTAATTACAGTTAAAAATTTATATATATATATATATATATATATATATATATATATATATATATATATATATATATATATATATATATATATATATATATATATATATATATATATATATATATATATATATATATATATATATATATATATATATATATATATATATATATATATATATATATATATATATATATATATATATGAAGAGTATATATGTATATATATATATGAAGAGTTTATTTTCAAAACGCGGTAAACGCGATTTTAAAAATTTTTGAGAAATTGTGTGGTTTATTTTTAGTTTATAAGGACCTAGCAGACATTGTGTCCGAATATATGCTAAACGAAGTATAACCCAATATTTTTTTACTTCTAAAAAACATTTATTTTCAAAACGCGGTATAAAAATTTTTATTTGTTTTCAAAATGGGGTATTTAATTTTGACCAATCCGTGATAAATGTATATTACTTCTGCGCAAGCGCAAATATTTTAATGTTGCGTTAAAAAAATGACGGATTGCGATGGACAAGATTAATGCGTTACCTAATATCCTATTTCACATAGAAAAAAAGGTATGATGTATGAAACAATAGAAAAGAAAAGCATTTCTTAATTCTAGTGTTCGTTTAAACTACCATGCTTTGTTTGTTTAACTGAACGAATTATGGAATAATGATAGAAAATATATTAAAAAGGCAACTTAAATTAATAAGTTTAAACATATTGTTACCTGTTTTTTAATGAAAAGCATTCAATAATAATATTTCCTTTTTATTTTTTGTTAAACCGACAATTGCTTTGTTGCAAATAAAATAAGGCTATTGCAGTCTTTCATTTTTAAAATTTTATTTTGTTCAAAAATATGACGATGAATTTTATGTTATATTAATTGTCCATTACTTCTATGGAGACTTTAAAATAGTGATCATCATTGTTACAACTACATAACACTAAAAAAATATTATTGTTTATTGTCCATATTTAACTCTCCGAAACAAATATAAATTTACAATTGCGAATTGTTTACATTACTTTAATAAAACATTGTTTACATTCACATTATCAATAAAATATAATGACCAAACATTAAATACACATATTTGTTCAATATGTTAAATAAAATTAATCATTAAAACTTATTCAGGTCTTTTAAAGTTTAAAAACTTTCCATAACATCTTTATAAAATGAATATACCGCATTTTGCTAACAAGCTTTAATTGGATATACAGTAATTTGAAAATAAATGCAAAATTATTGACAAAAAAAATAAATTTTTCTATTAAATAATATTTTATTTTTTAACATTATATAATATACTTTATGTATATATACATTAATAAACAATAATTTTTCAAAATATACGAGACATGTTGGTGTGGCGAAAAAAGTCAATTATCTCAATACCACAAAAATGGATATACCGCATTTTGAAAATGCACTCTTCATATATATATATATATATATATATATATATATATATATATATATATATATATATATATATATATATATATATATATATATATATATATATATATATATATATATATATATATATATATATATATATATATATATATATATATATATATATATATATATATATATATATATATATAAAGAGAGAGAGAGAGAGAGAGAGAGAGATTTACTACAAATTTATAAGAAAAAGAAACATGTTTAACAAAATTTAAAAACTAACCATTGCAGCTATTATTATTTTCACTCAAAACCCATCCATGCTTGCATGAACAGTTGTAGCTTCCATTTTTATTTGTGCAATAACTGTTTGTCCAATTACAGTATATATTTGAGTCCGCGCACTCATTAACATCTAAAGTATTTATTTATTAATTTATAAATTATTAAAAAATCTTAAAACAAACTATTTGCACTAAGTTAAAATACAGTAAACAGAAAAATATATAAAGTTAAATAAAGGAAGTAATTAACAAATAATTACTAATTGAATATTTGTTAGCAATGCATAATATATATATAATTTTTTTTATTTATTTAAAATTCTTTTTTTTAATTTTAATTTTAATAATTCTAATTTTTTCTTTAATATTTAAATTTAAACTTAAAATTTTAATTTAAATGAATTTATATTTAAGATCAAAAATTATAAATAAAATTTAAGTAACCTATTTTGTTAAGTAATATTATTCAACATTAAATAGAGCAATGATGCGATATGAGCTTTATTTTAAAATAAATGTTTTCTGCAATTGTAAACTAAATTGAATTTAGACACAAGTATTTGATTAAAGTTTTGTGTCATTTATCTGTTTTTAAAGTCATTTAGAAAAAAATCAGAGTAAGAAAGTAAATTTTTTTTTAGCTATGGTGTTCTTAATGAAACTATTTAATTTTCATTTTTTTATTAAATCTATGATGTTTATCTATGTATTTTTCTAATCCTAAACAGCTAACCAGTAATAAACATTCCAGTATTAATTAATATTCATATTCATTATATTCATTGCATTTTTTTTATTTATATTTTCTCTCATAAATTGTTTATCATTTCCACCTTTTATAAAGTCATAAGTTTCATACGTTTAACTATTAGTTTTACAAATAAAAAAACATTCACCAAAGTTTATACCCAACAAACATATCAGCGTTTAATCAACGTTGAAAACCAATCGCAGCGTAAAAAAAGCGTTACAGTCACAAAACAACGTGCTTTCAACGTTGAATCAATGTCTGTTTTTGTATACTAAATCGTGGAAAATTGAAACGTCGAATAAGTGTCGAAATTGAAATTTAGCTTCTCAAAATAAAACGTTGATTCAACGTGGAATCAACTTACGCAAAATGCCACTTTGAAAAAGTTATAAAGCATATGCTTTATCAACGTTAAAAACAAACCGCTTTTTAAACGTTATATTTTCAACGTTAAATAAGTGTATAAATTTAAACGTATCTTATCTTCTTGAAAAATCGCGTTTGTTCAACGTTGAATAAAAGTACGCAAATAATCACTATAAAAACGTCGCAAAGTTTATGGTTTATCAACGTTAGACATTAGCTGCTTTTTTAACGTATTTAAGCTATTTTAAAACAACACTTATTCAACTTTACATATACCAACGTTGAAAATGTGGTAATTAAAAATGTCCCTTGAGATTTTTGCATTCATCAGACTAAGTTAAAAAACGCAAACGTTGATAATTAGCAATAGCAAACTATGAATATAATTTAAAACTAATTTTATTCAGAATTTAAAAAGTAATAGTAATTATATTTCAACTATTCGTTATGATCGACTTACTTATGGTATTTCCTGTTTACGATTTATTTATATTTAACTATTGAAATATTGATTTATTACATTAGCTTTTTGAGTTTATTATTTTGTTAATGCGTACTGTTATTTACAGTAACATTGGCTTTCAAAAGGGCAAAAGACTGTGAAAAAAATAAACAAACACTCCAAGAATTATGTTACTTTTACAAAACTACTAATCAAAATACTAATTTGAAGGTGAGTCAGTAGAAACATATAGGTGAATAAATATATTTCTTTTATTTCTAAAGCAATTTAAGAAAAATAAATAAACATTTTTTAAGTCGGCGGAATTAAATAAATCAGAACAAACAATGGAATCATCGTATTATGATGATGTTGATCTACATTTTCTTGGTTCAGTGGGAAATGAAACAGACGACAGTTTTAACGATGAATTAAAACCCGAAGAAAATAGAGGTTTTTATACAAACAATAATTCAACATAGTTAAATAATTAATTAAGTATTAGGTTTTCACTCAGGCCATTGATTCTTAAGCAAAGAGAAAAAGAAGAGTTAATCAAAAAAAGTCCGTCAATTTTACCTGATGATTTCCTTCGAGATGCTTTTAATAACAGGGCCTTTCCAAAAGAAATTATTTTCATTGTATTGCCTAATGGAGAAAAAGTTCAACAAGATTATTTGATATGGAGCCCATTGTCTAACTCTCTACTTTGTTTCCCGTGTTCTTTATTTGGGTGTGAAAATTCCGTATCCTATGGGGATCGATCTCTTCTTCTTCGCTGGAATGGAGGAATAAAAAATTACTGGAGAAAATTGAGTGATCGTATCAAAAGTCATCATAGTAACCCAGTTCATCAAAGTCATTATCTCAATTGGAAGACTTTGCACTCAGCTCTTGTTGATCAGCACGGGATTGACTCAGAGTTTCAAAAGGCACTAGAAAAGGAAGTAGCCAGATGGCGTGAAATACTTCGATGTATTTTAGATGCAATTTTATTTTTAACATCTCAAAACTTATCCTTTAGAGGTAAATATTCTAGGCCAGAACTCTAAATACTTAAGAATAAGTTCTTATATTTAGTATTACAATATTGTTCTTATATTTAGTATTACAGAATTTCTATTATCTACATTTAACTAACTTAGAAAACATTCGTTTTTCTCGTCACAACGAAACATTAAAGAAACATCTTGAAACAGTTGCTCGTCATCAAAATAAAGGAACCAGAATGCAAGCTCACTACATCTCCTGGCAATCAAAAAACAAATTCATCAGTGAATGCGCTACATTAGTTCAAGCAGCAGTTGTGAAAGAAGTAAAAGATGCCGTATGTTTTACGATATTTACCGATGGGACCCCAGATGTATCTCACACCGAACAAATCACGTTAGTTCTTTGATTTGTGCGATTCAACTCGGGTAAGATGATTTGGGAAGTTAAAGAACGATTTCTCTGCGTTGAAGATATGGAGAAAAAGAAAGGTGTAGATATTGCTTATTTAATTTGCAACGCTTTAACGAAAGTGAATCTCGATTTACAAAAGTTGAGAGACCAAGGATACGACAGTTGTTCTAATATGGCTGTAATCTATAATGGAGCCCAAGGTCATATACTGGAAAAAAAATTCGTCGCTTTATACATTCCTTGCAACGCTCATAAATTTTTTTTTAGCTGGAGTTCATGCTGCTGAGTCTTGCGCTGAGATCAAAACGTTTTTTTGGCAATATCCAAGCCCTCTACGTGTTCTTTAGTTGCAGCCCAGCCAGATGGAAAATTCTTCACGAAGAGACTGCTTTATCACTTCACAATCTCTCAGATACTAGATATAAGCCACAGCAAGCTGTTACAGAAATGAAGTCAGATTTAAAATAGGCTGCTTGTTCAAAGCAACTAAAGGTGATTTTTTGTCAAGACAAGAGTAAAAAGTGGATTCATCAGTAAATAGAGTCACTTCAGATTTCATTATGATTGCTATTGTAGATAAAAAATATTACAGGAGCATATATAGAACCTTGTGGTTCTCTTAAAGTTGCTTGAAATTAAGAAGAAGGTAGGCCTTCAAGAATAACATTACTACTGCAGTTAGAAAGAAATAAGTTAATAACCTCAAAACCTTTACATAGAAAATTATAAGAAACTGATAACAGAATGAAGAGTAATCGTAGATTACTTGGAGAGGTCAAGGTGTTTTCTAGAGTTTTGAAAAACTAGAACCATGTATTTAGCACTTTTTAAAAGTTTAGCTAAAATTGTTGAGAGTTCTGAAAAACACTTTTTTGAAACAAAATGGAAATCATGTCTGAAGCACAAACAGTAGAAATGTTAAATTGAGAATTAATTTTAGTATTGGAAGCCAGAGTAATTTCAATATTTAACAATGTGTTATTCTGTTTAACTGTCAGGAAGAGTATGTCCATTATATTTGAGAGTCAAACTAGAGTAAGATTTTTTTGTAAACAGCTCTGCTTTACTCTTGGTTAAACATTAGATTTGCTTGAGTTAATAACACTGTTGAAAACTAACCAAAAGTTTTTAAAACCTAACAGAGATTTATATCAGACAAGACTTTATTTATACATTTGCTTATTGTAATAATAATAAGGACAATTTGTTCTTAAGAGAGGTGTTCTTATAAAAAAGATGAAAAAACTGATTAACGTTGAAAGGTGTAGAGTAGAATGAGGCTTGACTTGAAACTGAAGAGGAGTAGTAAAAGCTTCCAAACTTTTATTCCAAAAGCAATATAAGCCTCTAAGATGCACTTTTTGCACACACATTATGGATATAATCATATCTGTTTGCTAATTGTTTAGATGCTGGCATACAATATTCTTTCAATACTATATAAACTTTGATGCTGGCATACAATACCTTTCAATATTATATATATTTGCCAAAAGAGAAGATGATCAGATGGATGCGATGATCAGATGGAAACATTTTTTTAAACGTTTGCTATCAGACTGCTAATGATTCAAATTTTATTTATTGATTTAGATTTTGTATCTCAATGATATCTTGGCCTATTGATACGATATCCTGTAAATCCACTCACACACATAATTCTTTAAAATAATGTTTATATTTATATCTATATATCTATAATTTGTATATTTTATATAAATAAATTGTATATTCTTTAATTATTTTATTTTATATTTGTGTTTGTATTAAAAATCGATTTTAGAAATATTACAAGTACAGAGTTCAACATACAGTTTAGTTTTATTTGCCAATTCAATATATATCATAGCCAAATTTAATTACACTTAATAACATTTTGCGATGTTTTCTCTAGCGCATTTAAGCGTTGATTTAACGTTATATTTGAATCTTTACCCGACGTCTTTGAGTCACGTTAAATCGACGTTTTACTGCCAACGTTAAAAATCCTTGTAAAATCGACTGCTTTAACAACGTTACAGTAGCGCTTTTCAAGTAACGTTTTTTTAACGTTAAATTGCGACGCTTATGCAATGCTTTTAAGTAACACTTTTTCAACGTTTAGTTGTGACATTTTTATAACGTCTTTTAGTAACGTATTTTCAACGTTACGCTACAACGTTTAATCAACGACTCTTTAACAACGTTACATATCTTTGCAAAATCGATTACTTTGCCAACGTTTCCGCAACATCTTTTGCGACCGGTTTTCAACGTTGATTTAACGCTGACATGTTTGCTGGGTAGTAACAGGAAATACTTTTGTTTGTAGTTCGTTATGGTTTTTTTTTTAACTTCTTTTAATTTAAACTTAAGTCTGAGATTAGTTGAGATTAGAAGTTCAAAAGATTATCAAGATTTAAGTCAAAGTAGAGTCAGAATCCAAATTAGCCATAACTCTTTTTGATTTAAATGTAATACAGCTTTATTTTCCATTTTACAATTTTTCAAAAAAATATATTATTGACAGCCAGTAAAAAATGTCAGTTAATTAAAAATATGATTTCTTTAGCTTCTCTGTAAATTTATTACTTAATGTAAATATATTTGTATAAAAACTAACCAATACAGCTTTTATTATTTTCATCTAACAACCATCCAGATTTGCAAGTACAAATGTAGCTTCCATCGTTGTTTTCACAATCACTGTTTGTCCAATTACAGTAAATTGATTTTTCTAAACACTCATTAATATCTAAAAACGTTTTTAAAATATATAAAGTACTAACATAAAGAATTACAATAATACAAAAATTATTTGTATTACTATGGATAAATGTTTGTTGTTCAATAAACATTTTTTTTTTTCATTTTCTTAAAATCTCAACTTAAAATTTAGATTAGTTAAGTTCAGAAGCTTAAAGGTTATCAAGACTAAGGCTAACTTAAAGTCATAATCCAAATTAATCATTAGTCTTTTTTAACTATAATTAAATACACCTTTGTATTTCATTTTATTACATTATATAAAAATATAATGTCTTTAGTTACTCTTTTATTTAAATAACTATTGTAAATAAATTATTTTAAAACTAACCAATACAGCTTTTATTATTTTCATCCAGCACCCATCCAAATTTGCAAGTACAAATGTAGCTTCCATCGTAGTTTTTGCAATCACTGTTTGTCCAATTACAATAAACTGATTTTTCTAAACACTCATTAATATCTAAAAACATTTAGATGTTTTATAAAATACTAACAACAAGAATTATAATTAAAAAAAATAATTGCGTCTTAATAATATTTGTCTAACTCTGAAACTTTGTTGTTGTTCAATAAACATCTCTTTAATCTTCTTAAAATCTGAACTTAAATTTTAGATTAGTTAAGATTAGAAGCTCAAAGCTAAAGAAGACTTAGGATAAATCAAAGTAACAATCTAAATTATTTATTAGTATTTTTAATTGTAATTAAATACACCTTAATATTCCACTTTATTATTTATGAAGAAAATATTTTATCCACAGTCAGTATAAAATCTAGATTATTTAAAAGTTTAATATCTGTAGCTACTGTTCTTTTTAATTAGTTATTGTAAATATAATTTAAAAAAACTAACCAATACAGCTTTTATTATTTTCATCAAAGACCCAACCAGATTTGCAAGTACAAATGTAGCTTCCATCGTAGTTTTTACAATCACTATTTGTCCAATTGCAGTAAATTGTTTTTTCTGAACACTCGTCAATATCTAAAAACATTTTTAAAATATATAAAGTACTAACAAAAAGAAATATAGTAATAAAAATAAATTTCGTGTTAAAACTACTTTTAGAAAAATGGATATTTTAACTAAATAGTGAGATAATCAAACAGATATTTAAGACATTTTTTTTTTTGTATAAATTATTTTTATAAAGATTCTGTATGTGTAATATAATAAGGTTTTATTCAAGTTATTTAATAAACATAACACTGGTTTAGTGGCATTCTAATACGGGTGTTAATGAAAGAGTTTGCAAAACACTCTTTGATCGCATTTTACAATTTTTTTTTCAATATCATACTTTGTAAAATTAATGTTTAATGCTTTCAGTTACAAATTATACTTTTATAGAGGTAATAATATATGTACATATTACTGCTGAACTACCAAAAAAACGTAAGGATGCTCTTGTTAAAGCTTTCATTAACCTTTTTTGTGAAACAGTTGAACCTTTATTAAATGAATAACGGTTAGTAATTTTTTTTAACCTGATGTTTACATTTAGTGTTGATCATTTTCGCTATTCAATGTTTAATTATGCAAATATAATGTTTGCGTCATAATTATACTTAATTTATTCAAAATACAAACAAATGGTTGATGAATAGGATTATTAACCTAGAAAAAATTAACACCCACATATACTGCTACTTACATTTATGGTCTTCGATAATATTTCCAGTTTGTTAAATAAAAAGTTCAGGTGAATCTTTTATCTTGCTTTTTAAAAAATCATGATAGAAATTAAAAAATATTTTTTTAACATATGCCAACAGATAAAAATGTGGTACTTTTAAATTTACAAAAGGGGATGCGTCGTGACTATAAACCTTTTCAAAAAATATTTACAAACGTGTATTCTTGCGGGCAAAACAAATTAAAACGCATGTCAGTGGCTGCCATAGTTTTTTTTAAATGTAAGTTGCAAGAGAATCAAATGATAAAGTTAAAAACAAGAGAAACATATTTAAATGATTTGATAGGGAAAAAAGATAAACACTTAGACAGTAAAGTATTTTTTTTTCCTTTAGTATTTTTTATAATTTATATAATTTCATTATAATCTAAATAATAATAATAAAAAAAATAACTCTTTGAATACTTTTTTTTAATCAAAATTTATAAATTTTTAAATTATAGAAAAATTTGTTAATGAAATTTTTAATTTTTTCAATGATCTTAGTTGCTTCACTGAAAAAACAAGGGTTAAATAAAGCATTTTAAATAACTAACCAACACAACTGTCGTTTTGTTGACCTAATATCCATCCAGATTTGCATGAACAAATATAGCTTCCAATGATATTTGTGCAAGCACTGTTTTTCCAGTTGCAATATTTACTAAAGTCTGCACATTCATCGATATCTTAAAAAAATTAAAAAATTAATACAAAATAACAAACATATACTGCTCCGATAATGGCTTGTTATGCCAATAAATTTAATAAAGGACCGATAAAGTTCTGTTTTTGTATTGCTAGTTCTGGGAATTCGTTAACTGGGCTATTGCGTAGCCTTAATAAAATTACCGAGGTTGCCGCAATTGCTGGGTATACGCAAAAAAAACTATTAATGGTCCAACAAAGATTTGCTAAAGCAGAAAACACAAACATTGGTTCAAGACAGGCCCTAGCAGTGGTTAAATCAAACTAATATTGATATTAACTTTTCATACCGTTATATTCGAAGAATTTTATTATTTAAAAAATACTTTCAGACGAGAATCTATTCTGTTTATAAAAAATTCTAATTTGCCTACCTAATAATTTATATATTTTAAAGTTAACAATATATCAAAATAAGTTAAGGTTTTTTAACAATTTCGAAATAGTTTATGGCAAGTCAAATTTTTTGTTAATTAGATAAGGTTTCGTATGAGATGTGTTGTTAGACTTCAAATAACATGATGATCATGTTATATCAACAAGTCTACTTATCTCAAGCTTATTTATTTACATCATAAACTAACTAGTAATAAACGTAATAAACTGTCTCTAAATGTAGATAAAACCATATTTATTTTATTCCATAAATTAGTAAATAAATTAGAAAATCTCAATAACGCAAACATTAAAAATCACTTTAGTAAACTTTTTTGGCGTTTTATTAAATGCACATTTACATTGGAGTGACCATGTAAATAGCATTAAGAAAAATAAATCAAAAATGTTGCCAGGATATATAGGGCTGAACCATTTTGAAAATATAAATCTTTAAAAAGTTTAAGTTTTTTTTTCTTTTATTGCTATTTAAATAGCAATAAATCAAATATTTGATTTATTGTAAGATTGCATGGGCTAGTACAAATCATGCAAAGTTAAAAACAATGCTTAGTAAACAAAAACATGATTGCAGAATATAACTTGTAGCTGATAAAATTTTACGATGCAAACCCTTTCTGCGTATATTTAGCGCATTAAACGTTTATATAATCAATTTGCATCAAGTTTATGTTTAAAATAAAGATGTTCATATAATCAACTTGAATCAAGTTTATGTTTAAAATAAAGATGGGAATGTCTCCTACAACATTTCAGCTCTACTTTAAAAAAGTAGATCATAACTACCCGACAAAAGTTTCAGATAATAACTACATTGACCTAAAAAAAATCAAACAAAAGTTCATATTCAATTCAATATTGTTAGCCTTGTTTGTAGAAAAAGTTTCCTAATATTGGCAATACGAAAAAGTTTAGTATACATTTTAAAAATAAATTGAAACATGTGTTAATACTTATGGATTTTAACATATCCGATTTAAAATGCTTCTTTTAAACTAAAATTCAATGTTATAAAATCACAGAATTTAGCAATTTTTTTATTTTTGTTAATTCAATTATGTTGTTTCCACTAAACCTAAAAGATATTGCTGAAATCGAATCTGAACTCTAAAATCTCTCCAGTATTGGACAAAACATTTGCAACTAATATCGAACAATGCTAAAAAGTGTTCCTAATTTTACATGTCTTAAAAACTAAACGAACTATACAGCAAACTGGCAGACTTTCGTTGTCAAGTGCCATTTTGCAGCGGACAAAACGTGTTCAACTTTTTTGGTTAATTTTATTTTCTAAAGTCTGGTCCGTGTCAACTTCACGGAAATAATAATTTGGGGTCATAGCATACCATGACATGACAATGCAAAAAAGTGTTCCTAATTTTACATGTCTAAAAACGAAACAAACTATACTACCACAGCAAACAGTTCCAGAGTTAGGAGTCACAGCATGCCATCACATGAGCAATTGCTGAAAGGTGACAGTACACAGGCAGAATTTCGTTGGCAAGTGTCATATTGCAGCGGACAAAACAAGAAAGAAATTTTTATTGTAAAATAGCTTTTGAGAAAAAGCTAATTTACAGTAAAAATACAATAAAAGTTAGTATTTAGCAATACGGCAATGATGAGCTAATATTTACGGCCTTTTTAAGTTTATTTACTTAATATTTAAATAACAATTAGATAATATAACCTTCTTACCAATTGAGACCGATTGAGACGTAACGTAACTTCAAAGTGTTATAAAGGTTTGTTTATATTACTAAATAATTGTTGTTTTAAATAATTTATTTCGTTATTAAATAATTTAGGAAATAAAATATTTAAAACTTTAATTTAACCATCAGATCTTGTCACAAAGAACCACCATTGAAGAAATAAAAAAGTAATGTAACACTAAATTAAAAACCGTTGTTACGTTTACGCCATCTTGTCAAACTCAGCATATAATCAATTAAAATTTACCTCAAATCAAAGATTACCCAAAAGTAAAGTAAATTTTTTAAAACCGTATTACAAACAGTTGATATAAATTAGCGCATGATATAATTAACGTAACTACAGTAAACTCTTTTAAAAATACTTTTATAATGTTACTTCGGCTGCAACAATATCAATTGTCAGCAAATGAAAGTCTAGTATTGTTTTTCTTCATTAAGTTTTTATGTATAAGTTATATAAAATAAATAAAAATCTAAGATCATTTAGTCTTCAGCTACAGTTCTACTAGATAAAAGATCTTGATGTACAAGTTTTTGGACACCAGACCGTCGTCTCAGAATGCCATTATAAAACTAACAGCTAAACGACCACGACTAAATATATATAAATATATATATATATATATATATATATATATATATATATATATATATATATATATATATATATATATATATATATATATATATATATATATATTTATATATATATATATATATATATATATATATATATATATATATATATATATATATATATATATATATATATATATATGTTTGTATAAATATATATATATATATATTTATATATATATATATATAAATATATATATATATATATATATATATATATATATATTTATATGTATATATATATATATATATATATATATATATATACATATATATATATATATATATATATATATATGTGTGTATATATATATATATATGTATATATATGTGTATAAATATATATATATATATATATATATATATATATATATATATATATATATATATATATATATATATATATATATATATATATATATATATATATATATATATATATATATATATATATATATATATTTAATGGTTACCTTTAATGGTTGTTATGGCGGAAGCGATTTTACAAAAAATAGAAAGAAAAGCCCTTAACATAGCAATTATTCATATATCCGAACTAAAAACTTACAAGAGAAATGTTCCTAAACATCCTTAATGAACAACATCCTGCCATAAAATACACAGTGGAACTTGAAAACGACCTCAAACAACTCAATTTCCTAGATAATAACATTACAAACACATGCTCTGGAACTTATGAATTTCAAATAAATAGAAAAGAAGCTTTTACAAATGTTCAACTTAAACCTAACTCGAACATTAATCCTAACATTATTATTGGCGTTTTCAAAGGATTTTTATGTCGTGCTAAAAGAATATGCTCTCAAACACACCTTCAAAAAGAAGTTGATTTTCTAATTGCCATCTTTGTTGAAAATGGCCACGACAAAAACATTCTAAATAATATTACTATAGACTATTTAAAAAACGGTTCAAAAAACACCACATTACAACAAACAGATACCCAACCCTTTATAAAACTACCTTAAATACCAATTGTTGGTCTAAAACTTCGTTGAAAATTTCGAATGCCAAACATAAAGGTTATTTTCACATCAACTACCAATTTAAAAAATATTTTTTGCAACAATAAAACTAAACTACCACTAAACACAGACCCAGGCGTATACCAGCTAAATGTTCATGCGGTTCGATATACATTAGCGAAACTAAAAAGAAAGTGATATCGAGATGTATTGAACACCAAAAAAACAGCTTAAAAGGAAAATGGTCCAGTTCGAGTGCAACTGAGCATTCTAAATCATGCCATGGTAAGTTTGATCGGTTGCACCCTAAAACATTATCTGTAGCCCCAGAATATCGAACTCGGAAAATCAGAAAGTCACTCGAAATAAGCAAGGCTAGAGTTCAACAGGATTTGAGAAATAGTGACGTGGTTCTCAATGGGGATGACGGTGATAACGTAAAAACAACATATATATAATATGTATAATATTGTGTAAATTATTTAATCAGTTTTGCTTTATTTTTTTATGTTTTATAATCATTTATTATTTTATTCCTTTTTTCATAATTTGAGTGAAATCAACACATATATCTTTAATATTCTTATAGTTTAATAGAAATAATGTAAGATAACACCTTATTTTTTAATATTGTATAACTATGTTATTGATTTATGCAAAATTATTGAAGTCAAAAAAAATATCGGATAAATATTAAGGAATCCATTTTTTTTACTTTTCTTTCTATTTATTTGAAACAGCAGAAGAACCAGGAGACCATATTAATATATCTGTAACAAGATCGTCGCTAGTTAAGACTAAATTACATTTTATAGAACAATGTAGTTTGACAAAATGATATATTAAAGTGTAAGTTTAAACTATACCAAAATAGTGTACTAGCATGAGACGTACATTAGTAAATTTAAAGTAAAAAATCATCTTTTAAGTTAAATTTTTTTAGAATTAGGTCGGTTCTTAACGTAGCTTTTTAAAGAACAAGTTGAATAAGTTGATCCAATTTTAAGTGATTGTCAGTCATGATTCTATTATCACCAGTAATATCAACATGATCTAGTTTTTAAATGTTGTTTCTATAATCATGGTTAGTTGAGTTGTGAATAACGTAATGGTGCATTAAAAACCATTTTTCTTTTGCTATCTGCATTGTTTAATACATCATTAATCATACAAATGCCTAACAGATGTAGTATAGTTTGACTATTTGCCCAATATATTTTAAGGGGAAGACATATGTAAAAA